CCCCCCCCCCCCACTCCCCAACAAATCTCCCTGCCCATCTGCAACCCCATCCCTTCTGCCCAGTTGCATACTCTGCCCACATGGGTCCCAGCTTGTCTCCATGGAGCCCAGGGCAGAGCTGATATCTGCTCCTTGCACCCCCCTGCCCATGGAACCAGTGCCCATAGCAGGCCTTTATCCTAGGCCCCAGCCCCTCACTGTCATGGCTTCACAATCCCAACCTTGGGCCCCACCTGCCCATCCCACTCCAAGATGCCAATCACAATCTACCTATGGCCCCATCCCAGCCATCTGGCTGCACTGAGCAGAGCCACTTAGGGAGTGTTGGTGAGCTGTTGCAGCAGAGGGGGTGGCAGGTGTTGACCCAGCCCGTGACCTCTCAACAAAACTCCCTAAGCAGCCCTCTGGCCCAAATAACTCCCCAGCCCTAGTCTATAAAGTGCATCTCTATCTTCCCTTCTGTCAGACTTCACACCTGTAGGATACCTAGGGGTGGGCAAGAGGTGCACCAACTTAGGAGGAGTCCCAGAATCATCCCCAACACCAGCAGAGTCCATGGCCCCATGGGAAGAGCACCTGAGCAATGCTGCTTTTACAGCAGTATCAGCAGCCAAGTGTGTGGACACCCTGCTGCTTTTAGAACAAGAGCTGGAGTGGGCAGAGCATGCAGTAGGTCCTGTCATCGGTAAGACTTCTATACCCCTCCCACCATTGCTTCTCCTCCCTCCCCCTGCTTTCTCACAGGGTTACCCCAGGGCACAAAACCCTGCTTGTTATGTCTCTGCTTCAGATTAACATGCACAGTTAACTACTTCTCTGCTCATTTGACCAACAGTATCCATTGACTAGTGGATGACTTTTATCCTTTGAATATTAGAAGATCTTAAAATATTGTTGAAAAAAAATTCATAGGTAAAGTTATCTACATGGAATCATACATATACTTAAATGTTTTAGGACTATTGTTGCCAAGGCATATTAAAATGTGTGCCTTATAGCTATACCACCAATACATGTAAGGTAGTTAAAGCTGAAAGAAATGTACAATACTATATGGGGTTTTGTGGGTTAAATTTTTACTTTTTGCATTTGTTTGGCTTGGTGAATGAAAAGTGTTAAGAAAGATTTCTAGCTACATTCACTTTCTAACCTTCAAAGATTTGTAAAATGTAGCTATGATTAGTTTGCAAATGTTAAGGCATTTGAATCAAAAATATTTTTTTCTGTCTTTGGTATTTCATTCTAAATTCTTTCTTTTTTATGGGTTTAGTAGTTTGTTTTGTTCAACTCAGTGCTCAATTTAATAAAATATTAAGTGCTGAGGAAATGAATAACCTCAGTTTAATGAACTTTGGTAGAAGACAACATTAGAATGAATTAATTTTGCTGTTTCTATTGTTTTTTGCTAATTGCAATATTTAAAAAATATCAGTTTTTTCAGGATGAAAGCAATAATATTTGAATTTGTTGATGAATTGAGAAAAGTTCAGAGCTATTGAAATCCTATGTATTATATTTTAGTTTGATTTCAAGCTGTATACTTTTTTTTAAAGATTAAAATTAAATTAAAGAAAACCTTAAAAAGCAAATGTGAACAGTGTGGAAACTAGCCACTTAGATTTTTAAATTTTGTTTAAACTTCAAATGAAAAATGCAGCGACACAAAAAGGAATTCAGAATATTTTGCAGATTCCTCCACATTTTTTATTTTCACTATAAAATCTTTCACCAGTACTTAATAAGAAAACTACACACTTTTCAGGATATTTTGTGACAAAATGAAGATTAGAGACTTTAAAATTTAGCCCTGATCTACCTGAATGCAACCCTTTACATCAAATCTTTGGAGGCTTCCCTTATCCATGCAAACACCCATTTAATATTCTCCTTAAAGTAACTGAAATGGTAAGTAAACATTTCAGGACTGTTTGACTATAATATTGCTTGGCACATTCTAAGTTTATGAAATAATGAGTGCTTATGGGAAAGTAACAGGAAGTTTTTGTTTCTGGTATGTCATTCAACTAATCAGTAGTCTATTCACTTTATAAACCATTTTAATTAATTTGGTTTATGGCAGCAAAAGTGCCAAAAAATTCTAAAAGGAAGAGGGAAAAGTATCGGCGTTGCTGTTTTCAACAGATACATAAATCCAGTCACTTCACATTTCTGACACAGTGGTTTGCCACAATGTGACCTAAAACTACCTTGACCTCTTAGAAATCAACATTTTGCATTGAAATGAAACAACAGACACACTTGTTTTGATGTATGGCTGTGTGACATATTATAAATATTACATCACCTAACCATGAGGATGTCAATCAATAAGATTTTTTTTTCAGACAGCACTAAATGAACCATGGGTTTTTGTCTCTGAATGGTTTCTTTAAGGTCCTACTTTTGCTTAAATGATTAATAGAAGACATATTGTCAGAAAACATACTTAAAGTGAAAAACAGTAAACTGTAGAATTATCATTCATTTTAAAGTAATTCTCTAGTGCAAATGTCACATAAATTTACAAGGAGCAAGCAGTACTAGGCTTTCTGTAAGCTGGGTACTAGCCATACCTTCCACTTCAGAATGAAAATACTGAGAAAATATATTAAATGCAGACTGACCTATTTAGCAAAATCCAAGATATCATAGCTCTGCTGAATTCAAAAGTCACATTGTTAGATGTTAAAATCTTCAGCCCAAAGATAGACTGTTCTCAAAAGTCTGGAATACTGAATATAGAATACTCATACCTAGGCACCTGTGCTTAAATCTCTGAACAAAATTTCAACCAATTGCAATATTAGCATCACACGACTACTTCCAATTCACACAACTTCCAAACAAACTTCCTTTCAGGTCTCTTACACTTTTCTACAAACTCTTTTAACTGTATTCATATATAAGACTTTTTTGATTTTGTGAAGCTATAGTTAGGGTTTTATTATAACTCTGAATTTCTACTGAAATAAGAAAAAAAGTTCAGTCTCTCTTGGGTAGGTATCTTACTGACTACGCTGTTTGGCTACAGTTTAACTGAGAAACCCATTTTCAGTCAGCTAATGTGGAAAATTCATGGCCTGAAATCCTGTATCATATTTGACTGGAGAAAAGAAACGCAGATGACATCAAATAGAATTTTATTATAATACCATCTCACTGCCAGAGGGCAGCAAATATGAAGAATGAAGTAATTTCAGTAGGCATTCCACAGTCTTGGATCTATATTCTATCACTGTGATCACCAATGACAATTATTCCTATTATTCAAAAAATAAACCTATTTGCATATAACTAAGTCCCAGCTACACTTCAGTTGGACCAGTGACGCTTAACTAAGTTTCCGACTTCCACAAGGTTCTGTGTTAATTCCCTAACTACCTTTTGTTTAATTGTGCCCATATACATTCATTTAAATGATTTCACATGGATATTTTGCTACTTTAACACTTGTGGTTTGATTCTATACTCCAACTATTCTTTAAGGAGAGAAGCATGATAGCTAAAGAAATATTTTTTTTCTCTGGGTCTTTTAATCATTTTCTGTTAAATATATTGAAACAAGCATTTTTTCCTTGGAGGAAAAATAAAGACACCCTCTTTTAATCTAATTGTTTTAATGGCCAGATTTTGATGGTCCTCCAACTAGTAGTGTCTCACTCTGACCTTGATTAAGGAAAGTTTTTAAGTGCAAGCTTGAGTTGTTGAAACACATGGGGCATGTTTACAACTGAATATTTTCCTGAAATTTGGCCCCTGGAGTTAGTCTCACTGGAAAAAAAAAAAATCAGTCAAATGCTACGGATGTGACACCAAGTGAGTAAATTCAGCCAAGAGAAAAGGAAGATTTGTTATTTTGGGACTATGCCCTACTTTCATGCAGACATGGATATGCCTTCTTGTATTTACAAGTTAAGATACTAACCTGTACCTCTGGTAGTCACCCTCATCCTTCTCCTTGCTGACCAGTTCATTTGGGCATGCCATGTTTCCCAGTAAACTGAGGTACTGCAGGGCAGGCACAACTTCAGCCAAATGATCCAATAGGCCTTCTAATTCTGTTATGTGTCAAAGGTTGTTGGTTAAGGATTCAACGACATTAATGAAAAAAGTATTTATGCTTGCACCACCACCAATGTAAACATACATTTCAAAAACTGACAATCAAATTTACTATGGCACTCAGAAAAATGTCACATTAATTGTTCCAAGAGCAAATGGGGCTAAATTTAATTTTTTGTTTTGTTTTTGGCACAGAATGAAAGAATTTGGCTGTTTATCATTCTTTTCTCCTTTCTTTCTTTGCTAGGTGGTTCACTGCAAAACATTAAAACTTTGACAAAATGATGGATGCTGTGTGGTAAAATGGTTAGCAATTGCTGGAGTCATGTATCGGGGAATAAAGGCCCCAAGGTCATGGTGGGCCGAGGGCGGTATCGGATACGAACAGGCGGGATTAGCGGCGAGGAGTTCTGAGTGGTACAAGACTCATGTGGTTTCAAATAAAAAAGATGATTTATTACTTACGCTTAGTAGCATAGGTTGAGATACTTGCTTCAGTTACAGTTGTAAAACAAATGAACAACGAAGGGGTCTGTTGGCCCACGGGGTTCCCGAGTGAGCCCTTGCGTTCTACCCCAAAGGATAGGTGCGGCTGCCCACTTGTTAGTCCCAGGGCTGGTCAACAGCTCATTAAATGGGAGACGAATAAACGAAAACTCTAACACGGTGAACGAAGTACACAACGTGACGCCAGTCCAAAGTGGACAACCAGATGGTCGAAGAACAATGCCGAAATCGACGTGGAGATGATGAGGTAAGTTCGTAGTTGAGATAGGTTGGGATGATCCAAATCGTAGCCGAGGTCAATGCCAAAACAGTTCTATAACCAGAAGATCAATACGGAAAAGAAATGGAATCGAAAAACTAATACGCTGTGCGGAGTTATGAGGAGAAGACCCAGGGCCTGAGACCCAATCTCTTCCTGTCTCATAGTCCCTGCTAATAGCAGCCTCTGTTTACAAGTTGAGCAGGTCTCTCTCTCTCTTGATCACTCACACACCAAAACGCTCACCACTAACGCCCACACACTACTAACGCCCACCCCTTGGTGGGGGCTCGCAGGTCTTTTATAGGAATTTTGTGGCCAATCAAATCGCTTTCTACAAAGAAATTTCTAGTCCAATTATGTCACGCTACAGATAGACTGAGCATGCGTCTGATTTCTTTCTGTGTGGTGACTGATCATGCGCATGGTGAAAAGTAGGTCAAACTTGACTGACACGCTCATAGGTCACTCAGGGGGCATCTGCTAGGCATATGGTGGAATTTTCCATAAGCCTGTCTCTGCTGTGCATGTTCATAACTTAACTCTTGTGTTACCAGCACTTAACCAAAATTTTTGCTTGGACATCATGAAACTTTTCTAACATGGAAACAAACAGCTACTTTCACAGCACATTCCTTACTAATATACTCAGTCCACTGGAAAACGAGTTTAAAAACAGAAGAAAAGAAGAGGGGAGGGGAGGGGTGGGGAAAGACAGAGAGACAGAGATACAGCCCACAACAACTCACTTTCACTACCAGACTATAAATACTTGGAGTGCCACATCTACACATCCATAATTACTCAATTAGTATAAATCCTTCACTGAATGAAATGTGAAGACATCAGATTACAATACCGCATGCCTAGCAATGCTACTGCGCAGTAGTAATAAGCTACTGTGCAGTAAGCTTCTCGTGTAGATGCGACCACTGATAATTAAGAAATGTTGCTGGTTGAAGACCCCACCACCATGTTCTGATATAATTCAGTCTGATATATCCTCTCAAAATACTTTACAAAAGAATCAGGGAAATACGAGATTGAGAGTAGCAAAATTTGTCAGTAATACAAGAGCATCACATTTTAGTATGATAAAGCAAAGTTAAGCCTTCGTCTGGAAGATTATGTTAAAAGATATAAATCCAGATTCAGCATCTATTAAAAACTGATGGAAAGACAACAGCTAGCTTCACTGAACTTTGGTCAGACCCCTAGAAAAGATGCATTATCACATTATAATTTTAAGATGTCAGTCTTTTTCTCACACTCAGGACCAAGGTCAAATCAAACCAAAGTATTACATAACCTTCATCAGGACACAAGTTCATAGACGTTCTTTTTAATGCTCATAGTGCTTCCTTGCAGTAAATGTCTGTAAAAGCAGGAAAGCAACATATTTTTTACTATATTTGGATTAAGGGAGTTGTAGACACTGCCAAAGGAGAAGACTACAGAATTACTTGAATCTGGCAGTCATCTTTAGCCAGATGATCTCTTGTAGGACATCTCAAGCTCCAGAGGGGTTCCTTGGAGTAGGAGCTTTTACTATTACAAAAAACAGTAATCTTTTAGTAATTCTAAGATATTTGCTGTTACATGTTATCAATCTTATGTAGTGTTTTACCAGCGATAACTTACTTTTTCAGACCTTGAACTTATTTTTATGGAGTGAATGGACTCCATGAAACAAAGTCCATTTCCATAGTAATTTCATTAGAATCTGTAGTACATTTTTCCCCATTCTCTTCAACTACTTAAGGAACACTGATCCAGATTCAGGCACACATTAAATCTCGATTAGCAATGAACATGTACGACTACCCAAAGGAATTTTGGCCATCTTCAGGCACTTAAATATGCATAGAGGTACCTAACAGGAGTTACAGACTCATCTGTCATATGCAGGGCGTAGGCATCTAAACTCCATAACACTTCATTTGTAATTTCTTAAATCTAAGCATGAGACATTGATCATAAGTTTTATTTGGAGATTTTAATTATGCAGTTTTATGAACAACACGGTATGGACAAACAAGTCCTCTAATTGCTTGAAAAGTGAATGAGGAACTGGCTCTTGAGAGTGAGTATCAGTTATTCTGATCAAGCTAGTTCATGCGCCTGATCCTGAAGTGGTACAAGTTAGCTGAACTGTTCTAACTTTGGCCCTGTATGAAACAGGGTTAAAGTTACAGAAGCTTTGCTACACTGATATTGAAACAATTGTTACATCTCTCTATACTCTCTCAGAAACACCTGGTTTATTCATAGATTCAGAGATGTTAGGGTCAGAAGGGACCTCAACAGATCATCGGAGTCCAACCCCCTGCCTAGGCAGGAAAGAGTTCTGGGGTCAGATGACCCCAGACAGATGCCTATCCAGCATTCTCTTAAAGAGCCCCAAGGTAGGGGAGAGCACCACCTCTCTTAGAAGCCCATTCCAAATTTTGGCCACTCTTACCATGAAGAAGTTTTTCTTGATATCTAACCTAAATCTACTCTCTGTCAGTTGATGACCATTGCACCTTGTTACCTCAAGAGGCGCCCTGGTGAACAGAGAATCTCTAATGCCTTGCTGCATCCCCCTAATGAATTCGCAGGCAGCCACAAGATCACCTTTCAGCCTTCTCTTGCAGAGGCTAAAGAGATCCAGGTCCCTCAGTCTCTCCTCATAGGGCTTGTCTGTAAGCCCCTAACCATACGAGTGGCCCTCCTCTGGATCCTCTCAAGTCTACCAATATCCTTCTTGAAGTACGGCACCCAAAACTCGATGCAGTACTCCAACTGCAGTCTGACCAATGCTGCAGAGAGGGGAAGTATCACCTCCTTGGATCTATTTGTCATGCATCTGCTGATGATTTGCTGATGATTTTGTCATAGTAATGACTCATGTTCTTCTTGAAGTCCACTATGACTCTGAGACCCCTTTCTGCTTCTGTGCTGCTGAGAGTCACTTCCCAGCCAGTAGGTGTGTTGGATATTTTTGCCCCCAAGGTGCAGCACTCTGTACTTGTCCTTGTTGTACTGCATCCTATTGTATTCTTCCCATTTTTCTAAACTGTCCAGGTCTGCCTGCAATCGTTCGCTACCCTCTGGAGTGTGCCCTTCACCCCACAATTTAGTATTGTCCACAAACTTGGACAGAGTACACTTCACACCCACATCCAAGTCATTGATGAAGATATTGAAGAGTACAGGTCCAAGGAACAAACCTTATGGGACCCCACTACCCACATCCTTACAGTTCAATACTGACCCATCTACTACCACTCTCTGGGTGTGACTGCTCAGCCAATTTGCCCACCAAACTGTGTAAACATCTATATCACAGCCTCTAAATTTACTTATGAGAATAGGATAAGATACCGTATCAAAGGCCTTGCTTGGCATCCAAGAAAATGACATCCACCTCTACTCCTGTGCCTAAGCATTTTGTGACCCTGTCATAAAACGAAACCAGATTGGTCCGGCATGATCTACCTCCTACAAATCCCAGCTGCATTGTTTTTCCCACTGGACTCCCACAATTATGATCCTTTATAATCTTTTCAAAGACCTTTCCAAGAATGGAGGTGGGACTAACTGGCCTATAATTACTCAGATCCTCCTTCCTTCCCTTCTTGAAAATAGGGACCACATTGGCCCTTTTCCAGTCCTCTTGGACCTGACTCAAGTGCCATGAGTGCTCAAACAGCCATGCCAGCAGTTCTGCTATGACACCATCCAATTCCTTCAGTACCCTCAGATGCAACTCATTTGGGCCTGCTGACGTCCAGTCCATCCAAGTGACTCTGCACCAGGTCAGCATCAACAGTTGGTAGGCTGGTGTCCCTCTGATACCCATCTAAGAACCCTTTAGAAGACTTGTCTTGACCCTTGCTCAGGAACACTGAGGCAAAAAAACTCACTGAATAGCTCAGCCTTGTCCCCCCGCTCTGTCAGTAATTGTTCCTCTTTGTTCAGTATGGGTCCTGTGGTGCCCTACACCTTCCTTTTACTCCCTACATACCTAAAAAAAGACTTTTTGTTCTCTTTAATTTGTGTTGCCAGCCTCAGCTCCATAGTTGCTTTGGCCTGCATGTTTATGTTCAAATCTTACTGAAACCTGCATTATTATCCCACTTTCATTCAAACTGTAATAGTAGTATGCATAGTATTATCCTATTCTCTTTTATTCTGTTAGTGTCATTGTTAGTAGGAGTAGTATTTACAATAGCATATGTAGAACCAAGGAACA